CCGAAACCTTAGGAGCCTTTATTTATTAAAACTTTCACATAACCCTTACAAATTATACATTGTTAGATTGCTCTAGTACTGTTCTATAATATAAAATAATAATATAAACTATTAAGTTCTTTATAAAAACTTCTAGAGCAAAAAACCCTACAAAAGTGTTAATTTACTATACATTTTATCTTATATTTAGTGACAGACAGATGTCTGATCTACTTATTTCTTTTTGTTTATATTATGTTACATATAAATCTAACACCAGTTTTCAAGCGCTAAACAAAACTTAAATTTTTTATAAGTATTTACAATACAAATTCTCGCTTTGAAACTTCCTTACAAAATTATTATTAAAAGCTAACCTTTTAATTTTATAACTATATTTAAATTATATTCTAATATGAGTTAATACGCTAATTACACTAATTGAGAAATTATAATAGTCCTAAAACACAGTTCGTCACTTGGTAAATTATGCTTTGTCGCAGGCGCTAATTACACTAATTAAGGAATTATAATAGTTTTTAAAACACAGTTCGTCACTGGTCAATTGTGTGCTTTGTCGCCGACACAGGGGTTATTTTCATTTATGTATTAATTTATATTATAATAAACTTTTTTGTATTATTTTTCTTTAATAAAACATTTAAATTTGTTTAATGAAAAATTTTGTACATTTTCTGGGACAACAGTCCCAAAAGCAGCATTTACGGGGCAATGTAAATACATTGCCCCATAAATGAATTACTAATTCTGTAAAGTCTAGTAACTAGTATTACAGGCTTATGTTTGTTCCTAGTGTTTAAAGTATGAACATCTTTATTCTTATGAAAGCTATTTATGTTTTTATTTAGACCCATTACATTTTAATAAATATATTGCGATGCCATTAATCGCACCCATATCCGTTGGGTGGCACTATTGAGGTCATTGAGCATAGTGCTCTCCAGCGATTCTGCCATAAGGACTGTATCGTCGGCAAATCAAAGGTGAGTGATGTACTCGCCATTGACATTAATACCGTATCCTTACCAGTCCAGTAGCTTGAAAACGTCTTCCAATGCAGCGGTGAAGAGTTTTGGGAATATAACATCAGCCAGTCTTACACCTCTCTGCATTTGGATAGGTTTCGAACTCTGGTTCTGTACTAGGATAGCCATCGTTCCCCTACTGTACAAACACTTCAGCACTTCGAAATACCGACGTTGGCACGAGGGGGGACGTAGCGTTGACTTCATTAGATGAGACCTCTCCAACTTAACGTTTAAGTTCAGTGTGCCTCTAACCATTCGGTGGTCGCTGCTAGTTTTCACCCTCGCGATTACTTAGACATCACTGAACAGTTGTCGTCTGGTCGTCATAATGAAGTCAATCTCATTTTTTGTCGAACCGCCGAGGCTCGACCAGGTCCACTTCCTGTGGGGCCGCTTCTGGAAGAAAGTGTTCATCATAAAGAGTCCCTCTTTCTCCATAAAGTCAGCCAGCTGCTGGCCCCTAGGGTTCCGTTGCCCTATTCCAAATTTCCCTAACTTCAGCTCACCGCTTTCTCTTGTGCCTAGTTTTGCGTTGAAGTCTCCCATCAACACCGTATAGTGGGTTTTGGAGGAACGCATGGCTCTAGAGATATCCTCATACATTTCCTCCACCTCCTCACCGGGATGTGCCGAGGTTACTGCGTAAACCTGTATGACCTTCAGCGAATACCGTTTAGTGATTCTGAGTGTCAGGTACGGGACCCTCGTCGACACACTCTCAATCTTTACAACGCTGTTGACAAGAGACTTGTGGACGATAAATCCGTCACCTCCTTGGGACCGATGGTCGCCCTTCCGGTGATAGAACAAGTTGCCGGATTCGAGGATTACCGTGTCCTTCCCCTTTCTTCAGACCTCGGATAATCCTATAATATACCAGCGCAACTTGTCTACCTCTTCTTCCAGCTCCAGTATCTTCTCATCAGTCCTCAGGGTGCGTGCGTTATATGTTGCCAGGTAGAGTCGTCGTAGGTGGCAAACGAACATCCACCAGAGATTCTTAGCACCCCTGCCCCGCCGTTACCATGGTCGCCAAAGTAGCCAGTAATAGCGGGGCCACCGGGGACTGGTGGCCATTTGTTTGTGTCGTATTAATGGCATCGCAATTTTTAAATTGAATGTCCATGTCACGCATATGCCCGTAGTTGTTGGGAACACTAAGCTCGAAGTTGTTGACGAGTACGTTTACCTGGGACAAATAGTCCGACTATCTACGTCCAACTTCGACCCAGAGGTCAATCGACGGATTCAACTCGGCTGGGGAGCGTTCGGGTAATTACGACACATCTTCTCGTCAGGTATACCTCAAAACCTGAAAACTAAGTTTTACAACCAGTGCGTGTTGCCAGTGATGTCCTACGGAACCGAGACGTGGTCCTTCACTGCTGGCCGTATGAGGATGCTCAAAGTCGCTCAGCGAGCTATGGAGAGGGCTATGCTCGGAGTTTCTCTGCGTGATAAACTTAGAAATGAGGATATCCGCAGTAGAACCAGAGTGACCGACATAGCCCAACTGATTAGTAAGGTGAAGTAGCAATGGCCCGGCCATATAGCTCGAAGAACCAACAACCGTCGGGGAAAAAAGGTTCTCGAGTGGCAGCCTCGTACCGGCGGGCGAAGTGTAGTGTGACCCCCCACTAGATGGAGTGACGCTCTCGTAAGTCATGCAGGAATTCGATGGTTGCAGGTGACTCAGGACCGTGCTTTGTGGCATACCTTGGGGGAGGCCTATGTTCATCGGTGGACTTGTGAAGGGCTGTATGATGATGATGATGATTGCGACGCCAAAGTTAATATGTTTAAATAATAAATAATCGTGTTGTCTCCTGGTCACCGCTTTGCGATCGATAGACACAGACATAAACGATTTTTTTCAATACCTGTTGCTACCATTACCCAGATTTTTGAAAAAGTAGGGTCTTCAAGGTGGCGGAGACGCTGGAAGCGGATGTCATTGCGGACGTACACACAGACATCGGTACGTAGTTGGAATTGGTGCTCCAGGGAGAATCCAGGATGGTCACGGTACGCCGCATTCAATGGACATCCAATTTGGGTCTCCGTCAAGAAATGTGGGTGTGACTTCTCAGTCTCAAGACGGTAATGGACTGCACTAAGATTAGAGTGCAACACTCTAATATTAGTGAGGTGCAGTTTTGATGAAAGAACGTGCAACCGCTCTTTAGCCATACTTTTCTTCGAAGACGGCCAGCCTTCCTTCCTTTCACCGTTCTCACTTGTGCCTGGTTTTGCATTGAAGTTTCAGATTAACACCGTATAGTTGGTTTTAGGGGAATGCATGGTTCTAAAGATATCCTCATACATTTCTTTCACCACCTCAGTTGGATGTGCGGAAGTTGGTGCGTAAACCTGTATTACCTTCAACGACTACCGTTTGGTGATACTGAGTATACCTAAGTTACGCAAACCTCGTTGACATGGGGGTGCCCATTTAACAACATTGTTTATGAGAGACTTGTGAACAATAAATCTGAGATCTCCTAAGCTAAATGGTCAATCTCCCGGTAATAGAACAAGTTGCCACATTCGGGAATTACCGTGTTAACCCCTTCTCTTTGGACCTAAGATAGTCCTAAAATATCCCAGTGCAACTTGTCTATATGTTCTTCCAGCTCCGGGCCTCATCATATGTAGAGGCCAAAAAATATCACACAAACGAAAAAAGGCAACCAAGGGAACGGGAAAAAAATCTTCTCGTCAGTCCTCAGCGTTTGTGCGTTGAATGTTGCCAGGTTGAGCCATCTTACAACCATACCTCCGCCGGAGATTCTTAGCACCCCCTGGAAACGGAAAACGCGGAATGCGTTGCTACCCTAAAGGATTAAAATTAAATGCCTCATCATCATTCAGAGTCGTGTCGCTATTTTACGCCGGTATTGCGCTTCTCCGGTACAGCCGATTCATTCAATCTGCAGCCATTATACAACCACAGCGTGATTCAACCACGTTCTTTAGTACAGTTTTGGTAGTAGAATTAACACAAAACTCCCTTACCGATAGAAATAAACTAAATGCAAATTATACCAACTGGGTAACCTTTAAAAAGTTACCAACATTTACAATAGCTACTATATACTGTATATACTGTATATACTCTATATGGTACAGGTAAATAGCAGATTGAAAAACTTTAACAAAAGACTATTAAAAATTAATTGTCCATCATATTGTTTGCAATGGCAAAATATAAGTCAACATACGAGTAGGTATAACAACAAAACTTTTCCAAAGATAAGCGCAATATAGGTCAAATACCAAAAGAAAAGACGATCGTCCATTTATTTGTCAAATATGTGGACTTTGTACATATTCAAAGTATGATAATGACCCAGTGTGATAAATTCTCATTTACCGGATATCTTTACAAGACATTATCGATTTTTTTTTGAAGACATTTTCATTTTGTTGCATTATCTTGAATCGATACTACTATTAGAAATTAAATGAGATCTGAACACGAGTACTATTCATTTAAATTTTAAACTGTGGTGTACCTACTTATTGCGTTTTATGCAAATTTATCAAATATTCTCAAACTAAAATATAGCTAATATCTTTGAATTCAAGTGAAATATACGGTCCCATAATTTACTAAAAGAAACAATTTTTTTTTCACACATATGTATGTGTACTTTAATTAAATGTTGAATACTATCACAAGAACAATTAATTTATGATACCAAACCAAGCACCGCGTTCAGTAATCGTTTCGCTCTCGAGTCTTGACACTCGTCAGTACACGGCGCACGCTTTGGGCGCACGGCCGCGTCCGAGTCAAGGTCACGCGCTCAGTCATCGAATATTTTTGATTCTGACGATACAGCAATAACGTCAGCTTTAGGATTACCTCATAACATCTAACTATTATTAGTAACCTACGCAAGCTAGAATTCAAAGCTTTAGTAACCACGCGACTCTAATACAACTCGCCCGTATGAACGAATCTTTGAAATGATTAAGTACACAGTCCTAGTATTTTACATAGTAGCGCCGTTATTCGTGAGCAGCTACAAAATACTAGGTATATTCCCATCGTTGGATCGGAACAACCATCTTACTTACCGTGGCTTGTTTAGGGATTTGGCGAATAGAAACCACGATGTGACCCTGATTACCCATTTTCAACTGGCGGACGCGCCCGCTACTTACCACAATATACTACTCAGTGATACGCATGTTTACAAAGGCTTATCTTTTGAATCCGTGATACCAAACGAAATTTCGCGAGTGCCTTTCGAAACTTTAATATCGACAAAATCGGGTAATGACGATTGCAAGATTTTAATGAACAATCATCAAGTGCTTCATATGATAAGAACTCGTCCGAAATTCGATGTCATACTAGTAGAATCGTATAACAGTGACTGTGGAATTGCGTTAGCGGCAAATTTAAGTACACCATTTATAGTATTTAATCCACAACCGATTCACCCGTGGCAATATAACAGACTGGGAATCAACTTCAATTCTGCTTTCGTTACCCAATCGTTGTTACCCTATGGAAAACAGCCTTGGTTCTTTGATAGGTTGAGAAGTTATATTTTATATCACATAACAAATTGGGTATATTATATCGGTTCACAAGTGACCGACCATGTATACCTTTACAAGTATTTAGGTGACAATCTGCCCTCGCTAGAAAGCATAGCGTCGAATGCTAGCTTAGTGTTTGTAAACACGCATCAATCAGTGTACGGTGGAGTTGCCAGACCAGACAACGTTATTGACATTGGAGGCATACACATGAGACCACCTAAATTATTACCGACGGTAAGTTTGTATTGTTTATTGCGATAACATTTCTAACATTACCGGAAAAATTATTAAAAAAATATCCAGTTTTGTATTCTAAATGGATACACTCCAAAAATATGTACGTAGGTACGTGAAGATTATTTTAAAAAGAATGTTGAATTGTTAGCAAATAAATTTCAAATTTGCTGGAGATCTTAATTTATAGATTTCAATCCATAACGTGCAAGACTCCCGTAATAAAGTGACAGGGATAGCAAACTGGTTTATTTTATTGATTTTGAACGCGAATATTGGACTCCATGACAATGGTAGAATTAACAATTAATTCCAATCGCCTTTTCTTGGTTTTAGAAATGGAAAATTATATTACCGTAATTCTTAAATGATTTGAACTTAAGTGTTACTAGAATGCAGACAAAAAGAGTGATTTTTTAACATATTTAGGATCGATTTTTAAAATATTCGGTAAAAATTCATATAATAAAATACAAAATTTAAAAAATTCTAAATATAGGTTCATACGGAATAAAATATTTCAAATGTTTTGTTTTTTCTTTTATATCCAGGCAGCTTTTAATTCATTCAAAGAAGAATTTTTTTTCCCGAATGTTTCTCTATTCTTGTATATTCTCTAGTTTTCAATTTAGATCGATTTTACTACCAGATTTCCTTAGAAGAACAAAAGATCTTGTAATTAGGTATACGTAAATAGCAATACTTCTTTTACTTTTTCAGGAAATAGAAAGATTTATTAACGAAGCGGAATATGGTGTTATTTATGTGAACTTGGGTTCCACTGTGAAGGACTCCACAATGCCAAAAGAAAAATTAAACGAGTTTTTGTCAACGTTTAGTAAGTTACCTTTAAGAATTCTTTGGAAATGGGACGGCGGAGTGATAGAGAATCTCCCAAGGAATGTATTGACAATGCGATGGCTACCTCAATACGACATTCTAAGTAAGTAATTTTTGCAATAGGCATTTCAAGATAATTTTTATTATTTTTATGTACACTTAGTAGCACTGTTAGTGTATGATCATTCAGTCTCATGAAATATAGACGGAATTACTTTTTATTACTATAATATATTTAATGTGTAGTGTTCGCGTAAATATAAGAAATCATTCAGTCTCATTTGTTAGATTTCGTAATAAAATTAAATTAACACTTGCACAGGGCAGAATCAAAGAGCGCGCTTATTGTATTGTGATTAAGTTGCTTATCGTACTGAGCCTCTCTGCTATAGAAGAGGCCTATATTTAGCGACGGACCAATTACGGGTAGGTAGTTAAAAAATAAAAAATATGACGTTAAAATTGTTGGATACTAATCACCTTCAAGCAATGTTGTCGAGAAACACTGTAACAAATAAATAGAAAAAAATGCAGTTTAAACGAAAATTTTGACGTAGGAAAGGACATTATCCATCAAATTTTGATAAGCAAATAAACGGACAGATGTTTTAATGTTGATGAGTTGGTAACTGTAAAAAAGAGTGATTTTAAATACTTGCTTCCAAACGGTAAAAAGGTCCTGTAGCTGACAGGCACCCTCGACTACAGGCTTCTCGTCTCATAACACATAAACAATATTTTAAGCTTATCTCGCGAATGCAAAGAAAGACAAAAACGTGCATACTAATGTTTTAAGTGAAAAAAAATCGTTTCGGTAATAGGTATTATACGTAAAAACCGCCAACACATAATGGAGCTGCTTGATGGCTCACTATTCCCTAACTCTCTCAGAAATTAACCAGTTGTGGGCCGGCACGAAATACCGCCTCGATCTACTGTCTACTTTTTATTACAATTGACTACGTAACTGTATATCACTTGACACGTCGACGCCAAAGATACCGGTTTCTTATATATACAATGTACTCATTAAATTAAGTTGATATAAGAAAGGTGTTATTTTTATCGATTTACGCAAAAACCCAAGATTTTTCAGGTCAAAAATAGATTAGATTTAGTCGCCCCCAGTCCGAGACTTTGTTTAACAAAAACTCGACTTCAGATAAAAGTTTGTTTCGGCAAAACAATGAGTGTTATTAGTTTGCAACATATTGATATGCAAAAGAAAAAAGAGTGGTAAAAGCAAGCACATAGCCTTTTCGATAGCAGTTACAGGCATAGAATTGGAACAAGCACTATCGACTACGACCTTGATTCTTCGATTTACGAATAAACTGGTGACCCAATTGCATATAAGCGCTTTGTGCCAAACCTGAACAAAAGGCCTTCGCTATATTCAACCGAACCGCTATGGCCTTCCCCTTGGCCTCGACTGCCTCCACCCATCGATAAATCAAGTAGACTAAAATATTAGCAGCTAAGCGACCCCGACGAAAACCGTACGGTCGGTCGCTAATCAGCTGATGCTCACAGCTGTTTTTGTGACAATTATTAAGTTTAGTTAAAAAAGTAAAGTAAAGTTACAGCCTATATACGTCTCACTGCTGGGCACAGGCCTCCTCTCATTTCTGAGAGGGTTTTAGGGCAAGGAAGTGTCCGCCGCGCTGCCCCAATGCGTGTTGGCGAGCTTCATATGTCCTCGAAATATTTTATTTTTATTTCTCAGACATGCAGGTTTCCTCACGATGTTTTCCTCGCCGAGCACGTGGTAAATCAGCACTTAAAATTGTAATTAACAATTTCATTGGTGGCCGGTGGGGATCGAACCCGGGTTGCTCGCGTACTGTGAAATTTACAGCGAGCGCTAACCATCTGAGCTACCACGGCTTTTAGTTTAGTTATATTTACATGAATTTCATGTAAAAGTAAAGTAAAGTTACAGCCTATATACGTCCCACTGTTGGGCATTGGCCTCCCCTCATTTCTGAGAGGGTTTTAGGGCAAGGAAGTGTCCGCCGCGCCGCCCCAATGTGTGTTGGCGAAGTTCACATGTCATCGAAATATTTTTTTCCTTATTCCTCAGGCATGCAGGTTTCCTCACGGTGTTTTCCTTCACCGCCGAGCACGTGGTAAATCAGCACTTAAAATTGCAATTAACAATTTTATTGATGCCGGCGGGGATCGAACACGGGTTACTCGCGTTCTGTTATATTTACAGCGAGCGTTAATCATCTGAGTTACCACGGCTCTGATGTACCTACATTAAAAATTAGATAGTAAGTTTTTATAATGATTTCATATATTTACGCGAATACTACACATTGATTAAAACTACTTTTACGGATTACATCGCGTTTAATTTATTTGATTTTAAATTCCCGACATTTCGGGTGCTGCACAGGGCACTGAGGTGACTGACGTCCCGATGTCAATGTTAACCCGGAGTACCTTCAGCCTAAATAATAACTTAATTGTAGATGTATTGTAAGACTGTTTATAATCACTTGTACTTTTTTTCTTTTCAGAACACGATAACGTAAAAGTGTTTATTTCTCACGCTGGCATTCTAAGTACTATTGAAGCTGTCGACGCTGGCGTACCTGTAGTAGCTATCCCCTTGTTTGGTGATCAGTATGGTAATGCTGCTGCTATGGTGGACGCTGGTATCGCTAATATAGTTCCATACAGTGACTTAAAGAAATCACTCCTTATGGATGCCATAAATGAAGCATTAGACTCAACGTAAGCATTAATTTATATAATATATTTTTAAGTTATTTTTGTACGTGAGCGTCAGAAATTTATTTCTATTTAAATACTATTTTCTATTATTATAATTGAGTAAATATTTAATTAGAATTCAATTTTTAATAAAATTAAAATTATGATACATATTTGGTATTAACAAAATTCCTTGAAGTTCCATTTACTTTAAGTTTTAATAACTCAGGTAGAATTTTCTCAATGATAGAACCAAAGTGAAAAATAAGTTAACAATTTCATGTTTATTCACATGAAATTTCGATTCTAAGGTATCTTCGAAGTATGAATTCAGCGTCGTTACAAAAATATTACACCTTAATCGAACTTTGCCAGTTCGAACAATGAATTTGAGTATCGATTAGACATGAGCGCGGCTCCGACACGCCATCGGCTACCGTACTTCCTCACGCGCCGCCGCGCCGCGTTATGATATATCGCGATCAGTGCGCCAAACGAGTTAATTTGACCCAAACTAAATAATCACGCGTAACGAAACAATGGCAACATCGGGAATCATCATAACAAAGTTTGTGACGTCTTTGCCACAGTTTTCAAGACAGTTTTGTTAGGAAGAAATGTTGGTGAACATTTAGAACACGGCGAATATTGAAGTCTCCTCGGATACAAACTTAAGACCGCAATTATTCGATGCGAGAACAGTTTGGTGGTTCTTATTCCAAAAACAAGTGTTATATGGCACAGCATGCTAATGATGATGTAAGGCATTAATAATAATAATAATAATAATTAAGACCAACAACTATCGGAGATACATCCTAAAGGATGGCACCGGGATGGCGACGAGCTCGACATCTGTCGAGCTCGTCACCATCCCGGCGAGTCACTTAGGCATGTCATCTCCGGTTGTTCGGCGCTTTCTAACTCTGAGTACTTGCACAGGCACAACCTAGTAGCCAGAATTCTTCACCAGGAGCTCGCTCTGAAATACGGTCTCGTGGATCGGAAATTGCCGTATTACAAGTACTTGCCGGAAGCCGTGCTCGAAAATGATCGCGCCAGGCTCTATTGGGACCGGGCCATCATCACAGACAGGACTATTCTTGCGAATAAGCCTGATATTGTGCTGATGGACCGGGCACAGTCAAGGATATTTTTGGTCGACATTACCATTCCGTATGACGAGAACCTCGTGAAAGCCGAAACAGACAAGCAAACAAAATATCTGGACCTGGCTCACGAGGTGACCGTTATGTGGGGTGGTCTGCCGACCGAAATTATTCCTGTAGTCGTCTCTGCAAACGGGCTAATCCCAGTCAGCCTCTCGGGTCATCTGAGGCGACTGGGACTACGTGGCGGACCGCTCCGGGCTCAAATGCAGAAGGCGGTGCTCCTCGATACCGCCCGCATCGTCCGCCGGTTTCTTTCGCTTTCCCCCTAAACCTCGGCCGTTTGGTCTCCCCTGCCGAGGGCCTCCATCTGGTTGGGCTTTTATTTATTTATGTATTTTTATATTTATTTTATGTTATTGATATTTGTGTATATTTATCTTTTCATTTTCATTTATAATTATATATTTATAGAACCCAACCAGATGAGAAAACTATATAGATACCCCACAATAATAATAATAATGGCCTTCAGACCGAATTTTGGTCACGGCAGACAGTCTAAACCAAGGCTGGCTATCTGCGCAGAACACGAATAACAATCCACAAGTGTGGGCGCAGTGTGTGTTTCTATGTTGTCAAGGATCCATAATGTCAATCGTCCACCTGTTGTTTATTACACGCTAATTCATATATGTCGCAATGACCTTATATTAAATGAGTATGGCTTCAATTAATTACAAACCTATCTTTTATTAGTTTCGATAAATTCAACCTATAGTTAAAATTTCAATTTACGAATCACAATCCACGACGACACTAGTTTTTAAATCTTCCTTTTCTTATATATAAAAATTAATGGCGGTCAGTTTGTCTCGCTAAAACTCCAAAACGGCTCAAACGATTTTAATAATTTTTTGCATTTGTTTGAGTGAGTTCCTGGATGATTAAAGGCGATACCGCGAAAAAATGCACCTCTTTCATCGAATAGTATAGTACTATGACACCACTAACGAAAGTGGAATTTTGATATAGGAATATTCATGTCTTTATCTTGAATTTGCTTGTTTACAAAAGATCAAGTCTTTTCCATGCGCATGATCGCGGAGAAGTTTTTGGCCAAAAACCAAAAGGTTTTTTGTGCGTTCATGGACTTGGAAAAGGCCTATGACAGAGTGAATAGGGATGTGCTATGGCAAACACTGAACTCATTTGGGTTGAGCGCTGGCTTGATACGGGCATTGGAGTCCCTTTATAGGGACTCTAGTGCTTGTGTTAGGATCAACGGGGTCTACTCGGACTGGTTTGACATCCATAAAGGTGTCAGACAGGGCTGTGTAGCTTCCCCGTGGCTGTTCAACCTATTTATGGACAGTTGTTTGCAAAATTTGAAAGTTGAAGAATGCGGATTAAGAATGGGTGAGTTAACCGTCAAATGCCTTTTGTACGCCGATGATCAAGTTATACTTGCGTCGTCGGCGGCCGAGTTGCAAATGATGGTTACATTAATGAACAGATCATTAAAAGAAAGGGGTATGAAAGTGAACGCAAGTAAGACGAAGGTTATGGTTTTTGAAAGAGAAGAAAGTAAAACGATTTGTGAAATAAGAATAGAAGGGGAGTTGATCGAGCAAGTAGACGAGTTTGTATATTTGGGCTGCGTATTTAGCAGGGATGGGAGATATGATAAGGATATAGAACGACGAGTGAATGCGGGAAATAGAGTAAATGGGGCCCTGCACTCTATTGTGAAGAGTCAAAATGTGTCGAAAAAGGCACGTATGGCAATTCACAATGCTGTGTTGGTCCCTACTTTAACATATGGTAGTGAAAGTTGGGTGTGGCAGAAGAAGCACGAGAGTAGAATGAACGCAGTAGAAATGCGGTCGTTAAGGAGTATGTTAGGGCTGAATCTTAATGACAGGGTAAGAAATTGTGTAATAAGAGAAGAGTGTGGTTTGCAAGATGATGTTGTGACCAGGATTAAGAAAGGAATGCTTCGGTGGTTTGGTCATGTGGAAAGAATGAATGAGGAAAGAGTGACAAAGAAAATTTATGTTGCAGAAGTGAATGGCAGAGTCGGAAAGGGACGTCCTAGGCGAAAATTTATCGACCAAATTGGCGATTTATTGAAAACGGGCCAAATTAGGAGTACCCTTAACCGACGAGCATGTATGCGGAGGTGTATGGATGTGAAGGAGGCGAGAGAGGTGTGTCAGGATCGTGCCAAATGGAAGTCTGTAGTCTCTGCCTACCCCTCTGGGTGACAGGCGTGAGTGTTTATGTTATGTTTATGTTATGTTACAAACACGATTGTATAATTTTGACTCGAGCATAATTATTTGCGAAAACACATCTAAAAATCACTATTGTTGAAATTACAACGAAATTACTAAATCTATATGCTTGGGAATCACTCAAATATATTCATAACATCAATATTCATAATTTACTTCATTATTTTGATTACTTAAATCAATAATTTTTTTAATATTTTAAGATTCTGACAATTTCTAAGCGGTCTTAATCGTCGCAGGCACTACGCAATTTTAGACCTTATGACGGCGTTTTTTAAGTTTTTATAGAAATTATGTATTCACTCGGATCACGATCAGTACGGCGATAGCCCGAAGCTACTTTTTCGATGTGTCGTCTTAAATGCAAAGTTGAACCCGATAGGTGGCACTGTTGTCGAGATCTAGAATTCACCCGTTCGAGGCCGGGCGGATCACTCGTCAAAAATAAAACATGTGACGAGAGTTAAGATTGCCTCACTAAAATTGTATGTTTATCGTTTTTTGCTTCAAATAAGAATTACTAGTTAAAAATTGTTCGTTTTCATTACTGTAAAAGATACTGAATAAAGATTTTTCGATTTTTTTTTCATTTACTGTAATAATTGGGTATAAAGAGAATTTTAGGTTACTTAATTATTTATTTAGTATAATTATTATCCCGATAGATGTTTATTTTACCCGTTTTTATAGCACCCGTGTAGAACCCGTTCTACGAAACGTTTTCCAAAACTCGGGGTCCCAGAAGGCTTCATCCTGTCTTCACTCACCTTGACACTCTTTACGAGTTATATCCCAAAGGACCCAGTGATAAACACCGCTCTTTTCACCGACGATACGGCACACTTTGTATTAGATTATAATAGGGATAGTCTCAATTTGAAACTCCAAAAAACTATACTATGGTAATTAGATAGGTATCTAGATAGGTATGGTAGTTATATATGGTAATTAGATAGAATAGCTTAGGCAACAGATTCCGTTTATGGAGAATCTAAGTGAATCCTGAAAAAAGTGTAGCAATATACTTTAAACGGAATACAACATCAAAAAAGATTCGAGGTCCAAAAACAAGGCTGAGTATTATTTCCTTATTTGGCAGCCATATTCCTTGGGAAGAATCGACCAAATATCTGGGTATCACGTTCGACGTCCGAATGAGTTTCGCAAAACACATAAATGTAGTACGCTACAGAGCCAAGTCATTCATTGGCCGTCTCCATCCTCTGGTCAACAGAAAGAGCAAACTATCACTAAAGCCCGGTTTACATTTTGAGAAGTGACAAGTGCGAGCGGCAATGACAAGTGACAAATGACAAGTGACAAGTAGCAAGTTGGTGTTCACACATGTGGCAATTGGATGTCATTATTATGTGAAATTTTCGAGTGTGAAATTGGGTTGGTAATTGTCAAAGAGGCGCTAGCACAGTTTTAAAGTTTAAAACTGGTATCTCATCACACAAATTTACCTTTTTTTGATTAAAAAGATGTGTGAAGTGCCTTGTTGCAAAGATATTGGTGCACACCAATTTCCTAAAATAGCTTAAGTGAGAAAAATGTGTCTTAAAGCTATAACAAGGAAAAAATTTAAGCCTGAAAATAATATGGCTCCAGCCCTGACCTACAGGAGTCTTTAATTTTCTTCTTTTCTTGGTAATATGTAAACTTAATGCTTCTTAACTTCGCATATACCTACTTCTTTTGCGCCGAAACCGGCCATTCCCATTGATTGAGATATTGAGGGCATAGCAGCGTCTCGCATCATTTTATTTTTTTTTTAATTCAGCGATTTAATATTGTATAAACATTCGTGTTTCAATAATTCGTTGACAAATTTAATGTTATTGCTATATGACCACTTCGTAATAAAACAAAATTATTATAAATACGAGTATGTATACAATATATATTATAACAAAAATATTTTATTTTATAACTATTACCTATAACCAACACGTGTATGTTCTGACGTCACCGCTAGAACGGGGGCGGCGGTGGGTGACTGAGGGGAAAGCAAGGTTAGCGCGGGGCAGAGATACTTGTCAGAGAATAGAGCAGGCCGCTATTCACTTGTTACTTTTCATTTCGCACTTGTCACTTGTCACTCGCACTTGTCACTGCCTGTTCACACGCACTAAGCACTTGTCATTTGTCACTTGTCATTGTCACTCGCACTTGTCACTTCTCAAAATGTAAACCGGGCTTAAGACACAAACTCCACCTTTACAAAACCTTCGTTAGACCTATCATGTCTTACGCAAGTGTAGCCTTCGCCCACACGTATAGAACCCAGCTATACGAACTACAGAAAGTCCAAAACTTTTTCATCCGTAAAACCACCGGAGCACGGTGGTATCAACGGAATTCAGATTTGCACAACGACTTTCAACTTCCCTTTATCTACGAATACTTCAAGGAGATATCTCAGCGCTACTTTGATAGCGCCAAAACCCAAACCCGCTAGTGGCAAACGCAGCCAACTACGTCCTGATTCCAAACGTCGCGCGGAGTCCCCATAGGCCACACTACTTATAGAACTACTACGTTCGCTTGATCGCGTCGACCCAAACGTTGAAGACACATCAAGCACTGACAGTACACCCACACCAAATGAAACAAGTACATGTAGGATAACGGAAGGGTCGCACCCGTAGGCTGGCACGACGCATTCCAGCAAACATCGCGTACACACTGTGCCACCTGGGCGGTTTTCACTGCTCAGAACGTCGACCAACACGAGCTATGTAGTCAGAGGCGTGGGTCCGCACTCGGACTCTCCCCCATTCGGACAGCGCAGCGGTTAGATAGCTCAAGAACCAACACAGAGGCGACATGATGATTGGTAACAATACCAAATCGTAAACCATCATAATCATCATCCTCATCAGCATTGCATTTCGTTTTATAATCAGCTCAGTCCTGAGTCACATGAACCTATAAGAGCCGTATAGGCTAACAGTACCAACATCACAGAAAATAGATTGGCAGTCGTTAGCGAATTAAATAATTATAATACGTTACAGCAAAAAATCAAGAACTTCAAACGTTTTTGAAAATCGACAAAGATTCTATCTATCGGTAATAATAATGTCCTCCAGACCAAATATCAGTTACGGCGGCCAGTCTCACTAGAGACTACCTACCTGCATAGGTTAGGGATCTATAGTCCTGCATAAATTCGTGCTCTGCAGCACAGGCGTACTCTTTATTCCTTTTAACTCATAGTTCAATGGGATGGCAATCAGACACGATCAGAGAGGTATTAAATGTATGACGAACGTGCGTTCACGTGCTTTCTAAGATTTTGCATACGTGGTAGAGCCACGCTGCAGTTATATTATGGTTGTAGCACTATTGGGTCGGCTCGATCGGGGAAGGACCATGCTCTCACAGAATAACAGTGTAAAATAGCAGCTTAATACTGCTGTGTATCATATAGTGAGTGTAGAGATCCAAAGACCATATTCACTGGAAACGAGGCATTGCATCTTAGTCCTCAGGGGAACAACGCACCTGCGTTTTGATTCTTAATCGAGGATAAATGTAAATGTCTGTAGGATACAGCATACACTTACCATCAGGTGGACTGTGTGCTTGTTTGTCACCCTTATTCTATAAAAAAAAACACGTGGGTGAAACATCGCCGAATTTTTGACTTCGTGCGCTACTGAAAATTTCTTGACTAAAAACCCAATGATTGTGTTTGACTCAATCCAGGATCATTTTACCGATAACATTGTCACTAAAGTAATAAGGCGGACGCATAACACGGCGCGTGAAAGCGGGAAGTGGGACGCAGACCAGCGAGGTTCCGAATTAAGTCGACCGAGTGCAAAGGTTACGCATTGTTTTAGTTTTTCACTAAAAATATATTCTACTAAAAGACTATTCATCAAAGACATCTAATAGCAACCCATGAACGTAAGTCAGAAAAATGAAATAGTCAAATGAATTAAACATGTAGGCTCTAGATGAAATGAATTCATCTTATATTTCACATATCATCCCACTATGAAGTAGAGAAGGATCAAATAAAGCGATCGCAGATTACTAGTCTAGTGAAAACAGATTCGAAATATTCAATAATATTGCATTTTGTTATATTATATGCACTTTGGTTATTAAAAATTTTGCAATTACTTACTTAAGATCTAGTATTATGTTACAACCATTAACTAAATGATCATAGCATTCCGTACATGCCATACCCTTCTAGGTGTTAGGGTTCCTTTTCTGGCCAGCAGTACACCTGGATATGCACCACGCTCTTACCAATTAATTTCTGACGCCAAATTGCAGTGACTGCACTGCCGTGTTCCGGTCTGAAGGGTATATTTAGATAGATAGAGAATTATACCGTAATTACAGAATGAGTCATTAAATCTTATTCCTCAGAGGATAACGCGTGGCTTCCTCCTTGGAAGTTGACGGCAGTTGTCCATAGTATCCATTTGCCATCAGATGGCTTGTGTCCTCGTTTGTCACTCTTACTTCTATAAAAAGCATAGCGTTTTTACTAAATATATTACACTATAATATAATCTCGATCGGAATTAATCACGAAGGCAAATCGATAGCATACTTCGATTAAAAAAGATTAGTTTCGACAGTTTTTCCATAAATAATCCTATATAGATTCATATCTTTCAAGAATCTTGCTATTATTGGTTATTTTGCGGCATAAAGCTGCTATAATTTTTTATATGGTATAAGATCCACCATTGTATAGAATATTCCAAACTTAAAGATGGAAATGAAAGATCTAGGGGACAGGTCTTTATTAATAGATCGAAAGGAAAACAAACGCCCGCAAAAAAATTATTTTTAAAAATGTGTTTAAGTGTTTACTCAAATTTTGTAACGATCATTTTTTGTTTTCAGATGGCAACAACGAGCGAAACTCGTCTCCAGAATTTGGCACGATCGTCCTATGTCACCTATGGAAACTGCTATTTACTGGACGGAATACGTAGCACGATATCACGGTGCACCAAACTTAGTAGCGACATCTGTTAAAGTACCGTGGTATCAACAACTCCAGATAGACGTTTTACTGTTTGTCGCTTTGGTATTATATATTCTTGCATATGTTATTTACAAAATTCTGAGCGTGTTATGTTTTTGTTGTTGTCAGAATAGTACGGCTTCTCAAAACGCTTTTATAGAAGAAAGAAGAAAAGAAAAGAGAGTAAAATTTGAATAATTGGTTTCATTTAAAACAAATGAAACTTAAAAAGCTGCTTTCATTAGAGCAACGTAACAGAAAGGAAAACAATACGGGCGCGCTAGTTTACCAGACATGTAAATCTAAACTTAAATGTTTGACTTCTTTGTTTATATTTATTGTTAAAAATATAGAGTTATATCTTTTATTGTTAATTTATTTTCTATAAATTAAAAAAATTAGAAAATAACAATTTTTTAGTACATTTCTAATAACATATTTATAATAAGGACTTTTGGGCTCTTCTCAGGATTGAGTTCGGATTCTGGAAATGTAAGGCAATTTTCAATAAAATACAGTGAGTTTTTGCGTGGGAGGGGTGAAATCTGCGTCATGGATTGAGAGTGCACAATGGGTTTTAATAGTATTTTTTTTAAATTTCACGCATGTTATTTATGTTTGCAACAAAATATCATAATTATTCTATGGAAATCAGGTTATTTGTCAAGACTTTTCAATTTTATATCTGGTAAATAAATACATGTGTCATCAGGTCCTACATTACCCTAAAGCTAATTAGACTAAATTCTAGGGCGCAAAGTTCAAAAGGGCGGCGAGCTTTCCTCTTGCCGCTTTTGCAAGTACCACTTATTTAAAGAATAGAATTGGTAATAATATTCTCAACAAATAATAGATTACGTGCCGCAAGCATTTTAAATTTTACTTTTTCTTTATTTCTAGTACAAAACAAATAAATAGATTGTAAAGATAAGTATTTGAATCATTTGTACTTTTCGTCTTTCGTTGACTAACTGGCTGTGATTCAAAGATTTTAAATAGCTCTAGCTCTCTTTTCTTCCTCTCATTTAATTATGGTCTCTTACCAAGGCTGTTCAAGGGAACTTTTGTCAGCTATCTCTTCCACTTCTGCACAGGATGGACGTCCCACTATTCCATGCCGCAAAGAAGAAAGTTGATCTTTAAGGTTCTCTTTTTACATCCAACTCAACTCTCGATGACAGGGCTAACACACCGCTGATCTGGATTCGATCCGCTGGATGTGCGGTTTACACATCGCTCGATGTGCAAAGCACTCTGCTCCCTAGACGTCAACAAGTGGAGTGGGTGTGATGATTTTAATGTGTACTTTTCTGGTACTTCTACTCCATAGGCGTTGTCTCAAATTCATGAAAGACAGCATTTGCCCCACCAATACCTAAAAAAGTCGACCATTCAGACCTGTCCAACGACAGGCCTATTGCCATCACCTCCTTGATCTTCAAAATAATGGAATCCATTATATATTGCCACCTCATGAGGTACATTGGGGACCATCAGCTGATTAGTGACCGCCAATACTGTTTCGGTCGGAGTCGCTCAGCTGATGACCTTCTAATTTACCTCAAAGGTAAAAATTTGAAGATCACCAGCGGAGGCGAAATTGGATCACCAGTTTCCTTGCAGATCAGAGCATCAGGGTCGTAGACGCCCGTGTATGCTCCGACCTTAAGCCTTTTAATGCTGTCATTCCTTCATAAAGCTCTACGAGGCTGAATGCTATCACACTGTTTCTTCTGCATTTTAATGATATGTTGCAAACCAGTTCATAACATTCATTTATATGCAGACGACAGCACTAGTATTGCTTTCTACCCTGGCCGTGCCAATATATCTCGTAAGCACCAGTCCAGTCGCTTCAACGAGTCGTTAATTACCAGAATAAACATGTGTCTGAAATAAAGTTTTTAATTAACAAAGTCTCGGATTGGTGACGTCTAAATCTAGTCCAGTTTAACCCTTAGAAGGTACAGGTTTGCGCGATTACCGCTAAAAAGAACCTCTTTGTCGCCTATCCTCAATTTAAGAACACTCCTTTGCTGCACTCGAATGACGTACAGTTCCTCGGTCACTTGAAAGGGAAGGCTAAATTGGCCTCTAAAAAGCTTGACGTGCTCAGCAGAGTGGGGCAGTATTTTATGCCGACACACCGCTTGCAACTTTACGAGGCGAAAGTTTGGCCTCACATGAATGTGTGTATGCCAAGTGTGTGCTAGAGGGGAGTTTTCAACAATATATGGGAGGACAAAAGACTGATTGTCATTCCTAGGGGTAATGACAAACCGCTCACTGACGCCAAATCATACCATCCAATCATACAATCATAACGCTCCTCCCTGTTTTGGGAAAAGTATTGGAACAAGTAATTCTAAGATCTGATCTGAGCACCAGCACGGTTTCTCTCAAGAGCGGTCTACATTAACAGTGCTGCGTGTCTTGCTTAGCATGGTAAGGTATTCTCTACGCTATGCTACGTGCAAGTAATGTTTCTTGATATCTCCGGCGCCTTCAACAATGCCTAGTGGCCGATGTTGATGATCAAAGCTAAAAGAGGTGGATGCCCAAAAAACATAAAATGCTGGTGGTCTACTTCACCTCCACGCGTGTAGCATCTACATCGGAGACAGGGTAGAGTAGGAGACGTCGACCGAGAGATGTTCTTAAGGCTCTGTGCTGGGCCTAACACTGCGGAACATGTTGATGGACACCTGCTCCGACTCCTCCTGTCTGAAAGAGTAGCCATAACTGCCTATGCTAATGATGTCACGATTTTATATAATCGGAAACCAAAGCGGGTATTGAATCCAGGGCCAGTCACTCTAGATCTTGTGCGGGAGTGGGGGCTAAGGAATCGACTGGAGTCTTCCTCCTCAAAGTCAACCGCCATGACTGTTTAAGGAGAACTTCAGATCCCCCCCCCCCCACGTTATTAAACTTGGTGGAGAATCTATAAAGACTATGACAAATGCTAAGATACTAAGCGAGGTTTTGGACTCTGGACTATCATTATTGCAACACGAATTTGATATTTCTGAAAGAGCGACCAAGGGATTCAGCAAGATGGCTCGCGTATGGACATTATCGAGTGTCCGATACCCAAACTTAAAAATAATTTACAGAGGAGTATTTACATCCACGCTTACGTACGAGGCAGAGTGCAGGTACGAACGTGCGAACATTGAACATGTTCGTTCGAGTCCGTAGCGTACTACTGAGATCGCAGCGATCCGCCCATATATGAAAAATATAATATATTAAATGACGGACAATATGGCTTTCGAAAGGGTCGCTCTACAGCACTCGCAGTATATAAATACATAAGGGAAGTATCAACACGCTATTGGTATATTCTTAGATATGAGCAAGGCATACGACAGGGTTTCTCACTCGATCCTATTAAATAAACTTTATAATGTGGGTGTGAGGGTCTGGCCTACGAATGGTTTGTATCTTACCTTAATCAACGCGTCCAGTATGTAGATATAGACTACAGAGACCCACAAACCAGAATTGTTGAAACTGTAAGGTCTAAAAAAAATTTCTTAAAACACTCAATACCCCAGGGTAGCGTGCTGGGCTGTTTGCTGTTTTTAATATATGTGTATGATCTTCCGAATATACGTAATATCCCCTGTGTTCTTTTTGCTGATGATATTTCATTAATTCTTCCCTGTCTCAATAGCACAGATCTACACCATCTCCTAACCTCTAATTTAAATGTAATAAATTGCTGGCTCCAAGATCACAACCTCGAGATTAATTTCAAAAAGACTAAACTTTTGCAATTTAGACCATACCAAAAACGCCCCTTACATATCAACTACCAATACCTAAATATTCCCTTAGAATCTGTTAACTCTCACTTTCTCCTGGGTATAAATATAAATGCACATTTAAATAGGAGAGAAATTAATAAAATTGTCAAAAAGTTATCTAGTTTTACATACGCTCTTATAGAACTTAAAAAAAACCACCGACTTAAAAACAGCAACCTGTGCCTACTACGCAGACGCCTGGATACGCTACGGTGTGGTACTTTGGGGTAACAGCACAGACGCTAACAAAGTATTTCTAATTCGGAAAAAATGTATTCGTATACTTGCAAATATCGACTCCATAACAAGTTGTAGAAATTACTTTATCAATTATAATATCCTGACATTAACATCCCTATATATATCCGAAATATGCTCACTAGTTAGAAATAATATCGACTGGTTCCCTCAATATTTTCGCCCTAAAAATTTAAGACCAAAAATAAAATTATCCACAGTTAAATCAAAATTACAAATCGTAAACACCAGTCCCTATGCCATGTCAATAAAAATATATAACAAAATTCGAGAACAAATCAGAAGCATTAAAAGAATTAAAAAATTTAAAAAAGAAGTTAATACATATTTAACGAAAAAATGTTATTACTCGTTGCAGGAGTTTTTTAGTGATTGAGTAGGAATTAGGAAATTGAAACAAATAAATAACATAATATGATCCAATAATAAACTAAATATTCATTAAATGATAATTTTATAATACTTTAATGTGAATGTAATAATAATATTAATAATTGCCTATATTTGCAGTGCCCTTACAGGGTTCTTGTTTTGAAAATTTTTTTTTAAATATAAGACCAGCGTGAAATTTCGACTAATGTGATCGGCGTTTGGCAGGATCGATGGATGAATGAATCTAAAGAATGCAAGCTCTATCGATTTTCCCGTAGGTAGTGTTGCGACTTAGGTATAATAATAATAATAATTTTTTATTGACATTATCATAGTTCACATACTTTTTACAAATATTTACAATACATTATGAGGACCAATTTGAAATAGGAAATTTGAATACTCAGTAACCTGTATTTAGAAGATACAGTTCTATCCCCCCTATTGATTAGGAATACATAGTTGTATTCTTTAAATATATTTGATTTGATTTATTTATTTAGGCTTACCAACTAAACACATACAAAACATTTATTATTAAACATTTGCAGTTATAAACAAAATTATACTATATAATATTTAACTTAAAGATATGCACAACATTTCAACATGAAACTTAAAATTAGTTTTGAAATTAACAGATAATATATCATATACAAATATGATATAAACACAAAGACTATTCTATGCAATACAGGTAAAGTTATAATTTGGTAGAGAGCTTAACATTGTCTAATTTAAAGTTTTAATTTTCAG